GGGGGGAACCAGTGTGAGCCCGGAGGACATGGAGTGCTATGTCCCAGAGGTCAGTCCACCCTCCCCAGGCTGTGGCTGAGGGGTGTCGGGGACCAGCGGCGAGATGACCAATCCGGGCTCCGAGCCTGAAGAGCAGGGCCTTGGCGGTCCCGGAGCCCCAGGTCTAGGTCAGCACAGTGCTGGGAAAGGGCCGAGGGGCCTTCCTGGGTCCAGGAGTAAGGGGGCAGAAGCAGGTGATCCCGGCCTACTGCCGCCTCCTCCAAGGAGGACACCAGCCTCCGGCAGGAAAGCGGCCGGATTCAGCTGCCCTTCATGGCTGCCCCCACCTGCCTGGGTGAGGTCGGCCCCCCAGCTCCTCCAGGGCCCCTCAGGCCTGGAGGCCTGGGCACCACACCCCAGTGCTTCTGTGCTCCAAATGTCAGTGAGTGACCTTCTGTCGCTCTCAGGAATGACACTCGTCTTCTGTGTTAAAAGTCTAGCAGGTTCCTCATCACGCTCATTTAAAAGCCCCACAAGGGCTTTTTGCTGCAAAGACAGACGAAGGATTTCTTGTGACAAGTGCTGAACTCTGCTTCACCGTCAGCCCGGCCCTCACTTCTCTTCGAAGTCTGGGTCTGGGACCCCTCCGTGCTGAATGACCATTTCCCAGGGTGTGCACACCTGGGTTACCTGGCAGCCTCCTTTGCAGAACCTTCTGGAAACACTGAACTGCAAGATTCATTCCAGGGAACAACAGGGAAACTGCCGGGGAGGCCAGGACCACTGCCCGTCTCCCATCACCTGGGAGGCTGGGGGACCCCGAGGAGCCTGGCGTGGGAGTCGGGGTCTCCATCAGACTGCGCAGGTTCTCAGGGGAGCCCGAGCAGGAGGCCACGGGAGGCAGGGGGCTGCCCAGCCCGCTCTGTCCACGTCACAGCCCCACTCTGGAGGCCTTTGCTGATCACGTGTCCAAGCCCGTGTCCGCTGGAAATGCGTGTCCGCCGCCCCCCCCCAAGCCGTGTCTCCTGCCGCAGAGCCATGTCCCGTGAAATTCTGTAGTGCTTTTACAGGCGGGCAGCGGCTTGTCACCACAACAGCCGAGGTGGAGTTTTCTTCCCAGTGAGTATCCCAGAGGAAAGCGACTCCTGGGGTCTTTGAGGGTTGACCATTCTCTGCATTCAGGACACCCACACATGCAATCTCAGGAGCCCCTACAAACACCCTCCTTCGGCCTCCACCCCGCAGAGGCCGTCCCAGAAGACAGCGGCCACCTTCACTCTTCTACCTTCACGGGCGCTCGTCCTGTCACTCTCGGGACCCCTCGCCCACGGCATGCATCTGGGACGCCGAGAAGAGCTCTGAGGACTCTCGGGGGCTGGTGGCGGGAAGGAGCCGTCTTGAGGTCCCTTTCTGCTGTTTGGCAGTGAAGCTGGGGCGCCTACTCGTGGGGGCGAGCGCAGCCTTTCCAGGGGAAACCCCTGCGTGTCCCCTCCAAGGCCAGAGAGGCCTCGAGTCCATGAGGCCCCTCATCAATGGTGCAGGCTGATGGTTCCCCTTCGCCACCAGCCTGCCGGAGTCAGTTCTCCAGCAGCCGCCCGATGTCCCTCTAGGTGGCACCTCACAGAAGCCTTGTCCATGTCCCGAGAGTGAGCTCTCGTCAAACGTGGTCTTGGAAGGAAAGAGAATGGAGAGGAATGTGAAATACTGTGCCTGCTCTTTTTCATTTTGGAGGCAAAGAGATTTTGTTGGGACTCAGGATGGTGAAGGTGAAGCTAAGGGGTTCAGAACAGCTGCCCGGGACCGGCACGCTTCAGTGGTCTCAGGTGGGCAGGCCCTGTGCTTTTAGTTAGTTGTGTTCCAGGGTTATCTGAAATTGGTTTGCGTGGGCCCCGGGAGAGCATCTCTGGCAGCCAGAGTCAGCTGACGTGACCCAGGCTCGCCTGGGTAACAGGTGGGTCCACTCATGGTGGGTGCTCTGGGCACCTGGGCCCACTCATGGTGGGTGCTCTGGGCACCGTAGGTGGAGAGATGGGGCTCCGATAGGTGCCGTTATTTGCCTAAGGTGTCAAGTGGCCTGACTGCAAAAGCTACTCACAGCCTGAGGCACCTGCTGGTGGGGGACTGGAGACTGCTGGTGAATATTTTACCTAAATTGGGATGGGAGTGACATCGACCTTTGCTCCCGGGACTATGGGGTGTTTAGCTCTCCCAGTAAACACCAGAAAACTGTTCAATTAGGAAGGACTCAGTGTCTGAACTCGCTCAAGCCGCCTGTGGGGACGGGGTGTGTGTGTGTAGTCAGAGAGGCAGTGAGGATGGAGAATGGAAGCTCCGTGGAGGTGCCGGGGGCCCCCATCCTGCTTACTGTCNATTAGGAAGGACTCAGTGTCTGAACTCGCTCAAGCCGCCTGTGGGGACGGGGTGTGTGTGTGTAGTCAGAGAGGCAGTGAGGATGGAGAATGGAAGCTCCGTGGAGGTGCCGGGGGCCCCCATCCTGCTGTGTACACGAGGGGAATTCCGTAACCCGACGTCAGCAAGTGGCCACAGGGGCAGGACTATGTGCCGAAGGGGGCCGGTGGAAAATGCCTTCACTGTGGGGTTGCAGTGTCTCTGAAAATGGGGGCACCTATGTTCTAGTCACCAAGTATTGCCTGTGCCAAGCGGCAAACACCGAGGAGAGGCTGCCAAGCCTCCTGGGCCCATGTGACCTGCACGCTTTCTCCCCGAGCCCCTTGGCAAACTCACCGGTGAACTCCAGCTCTGGCCTCGAAGCCTGGGTACCTGTTGGAACAAAACAGAAACGCTCAGTGTGAGCAGTGGAGGGTGGGAAGGGGTCGGTCTAAAGACCCCGGTGGCCCGAGCGCTGGGGCCAGGAACAGACTCCCCGGGGCAGTGCCCCTCAGGCCACCTGCTTTCAGAGCAGGTGCTTTGTAAGAGGTAAGCGTGAGGGCCACAGCAAGGTGCTTCGTGCCCCGACTCAGGGCACCCTCTGAGGCCTGGCCGATGGGCAGCTCGGCTTCCACAGACATGAACTCCGTCCTGACCTTTGGATCCGGACAGAGTCCATCGTCC